TCCCCAAGGAATCCCCCCCTTGAAATGCTGGAAAGGCACAAATCCCCGAAGAATCCATGCTTAAAATGCTGGAAAGGCACAAATCCCCAAGGAATCCCCCCTTGAAATGCTGGAAAAGCCCAAATCCCCAAGGAATCCCCCCTTGAAATGTTGGAAAAGCCCAAATCCCCAAAAATCCCCCCTTAAAATGCTGGAAAAGCCCAAATCCGAGCCGAGCAGGGGACCTAAGGGGACAAAGGGTGGGCGCAGCCCCTGAGGGTGGCTGTGGCTCCTCCCCACAGAGAACAACGAGCCCTACATGAAGATTCCCTGCAGCGACTCCAAAATCACCAGCGCCGTGTGGGGCCCGCTCGGGGAGTTCATCATTGCTGGCCACGAGAACGGGGAGCTCAACCAGTTCAGTGCCAAGGTCAGGGCCTGGGGCAGCATTCCTGGGGGGATCAGGCCTGGAATTGTGGGATTTGGGGCTCCAAACAGCAGCTCCTGCAAGGGGCAGTAAAATATGGGGCTCCCCTGAGCCAGGCTGGGGTTGGCACAGCACTGGGATGTGGGACTGAATCCATCCCTAAATTCTTTTCCCACTCAGAGCGTTGCAGGATTCTGTTCCATGTTGTTTTTAGGGAGGGAGTTGCTTCCCAGCTCCCTGAAAATTTCTGTTCCCTGTCCCTGTTAAAATCTGAGGTTCCCTGAGTGAGACTGCAAGGGACATGGAACTGAATCCATGCCAAAATTCCCTTCCAGAGCATTCCAGGGTTCTGTTCCATGTTACTTTTAATGAGGGAATAATTTCCAAGCTCCCTGAAAATTCCTCTTCCCCTCCCCTGTTAAAATCTGAGGTTCCCCCGAGCAAGGCTGGAAGTGACACCTCAGTGCAGGAGTGTGGGACTGAATCCATCCCTAAATTCACTTCCAGAGCCTTCCAGGATCCCATTCCATGATTTCTCAAGATGTTTTTAATGAGGGAATTACTTCCCAGCTCCTTGAAATTTCCTCTTCCTTTTCCCTTTCAAAATCTGAGTCTCCCCTGAATGAGGCTGGGATTGACATAGAGCAGGGACGTGGAACTGAATCCACCCCTAAATTCCCACCCAGAGCATTCCAGGATTCCATTCCATGTTGTTTTTGATGAGGGAATCCCTTCCCAGCTCCCTGAAAATTCCTCTTCCCCTGCAGTCAGGGGAGCTGCTGTCGAATATCAAGGAGCACACCAAGCAAATCAACGACATCCAGACCTCCCGGGACATGACCATGTTCATCACTGCCTCCAAGGACAACACAGCCAAGGTGAGCTTCTCCTGCAGATTTCCTGCCAGGATCTCTGCCCAGGGGGAGTTTTGCTCTTTGGGAATGTTCAGGGAGGAAGAGGAGGTGCTGAATGAACAGCCAAGCATTGAGAAAAAAATCTTTGGGTATTTCCATGGAACGTTTGCAGTTTGTCACCTCTGGAAGGGGGGAGATTTCCCTTTCTGGGGCAATATTTTTGGGATTGGAGCTTGCAGAGGGAACATCCATGCAAGTGAGGCTCCTGATCTGGAGCTAATCCATGAATTTATCCCTTTTCCCTCGTAGCTCTTTGACTGCACATCCCTGAAGCACCTGAAGACGTTCCGGACGGAGCGGCCGGTGAATTCTGCTGCCCTGTCCCCCATTTTTGACCACGTAAGGATGAGCTCCCTCAGGGTCTCACTGATCCTGTGGTTCCTGCACTCCCCCTCCAGCCTAAAACCAGGATTCTGGAATGAGCCTGGGAAATTTTGCTGGGTCAGGCACTGGGAAGAAAGCTCTGTGTCCTCTGCTCAGTTGTGTAAGAGAGGTGGGAATTAATTCCTGAGGGGGTTGGAGGACTGCTGATGGATTTCTGGGATTAATGGGAAGTGCTGGAGGCAGTCACCACCCCTGGAGGTGTCCAGGGAACCTCTGGTCCTGGCATTCACTGCTCTAAACTGCTTTCAAGGTGGGGATCCATGCTGGCCTAGATCTTGGAGGTCTCCCCCAACCTCGGTGAGCCCAGGATTCCCTAAATCCCAGAGGGAAGCACTGAAGGGCTGTGGTTTCTCTGGCTTCTCTGCCCTGCAGGTGGTGCTGGGTGGAGGGCAGGAGGCCATGGATGTGACCACAACCTCCACCAGGATTGGCAAATTCGAGGCCAGGTTGGTGCTTTTCCCTCTGGCAGGGCCGAATCCTCACCCAGAGCATTCCTGACATCCCAAGGATTGCTCTTCCCTTGCTTTTGGGAAGTTGGCAGTGCTGGAGAAACCCTTGAGCTCTTTTTTTCTTTGGGTTTTTTCCCTCCTGGGCTCGTGACAATTTCAATTTTCCTCCCCCCAGGTTCTTCCACTTGGCTTTTGAGGAGGAGTTTGGCAGAGTCAAGGGGCACTTCGGGCCCATCAACAGCGTGGCCTTCCACCCTGATGGGAAGAGGTGAGAGCCTCCCTGGGGACCTTGCAGTGTCCCCAGTCCACCCAGTCCCACTTTTTAACTGGGATATGACCAGCCTCAGGGGATTTCTGTGGTGGGAATGGAACCAGCACCCGAATTCTGAGCCAGCCCGGGGGTTCCTCACACCCTGCCCCACACTTGGGCCACATCACTGATCTTTTGTCCCTCTTTGTGATCCCTGTATCAGTTTCAGGAGGGGGTGGTGAGGCTGGATTTCCCAATTCTTGGCTTCCAGCAGCATTCCTGACTTTTCCCTTTCCTCCTGCAGCTACAGCAGCGGGGGTGAGGACGGCTACGTCCGCATCCACTACTTCGATCCCCAGTACTTCGAGTTCGAGTTTGAAGCCTGAAGGAGAATTTTCCTCTCCTCTCCTCTTCTTTTCCCTTCTCCAACTCCTTCCTCCAGCACAGGACTGTTGGAAAGGCCTGGAGACGTTCTTGGCAGAGATTTGGGGGCTGTGGGAAGTTGGGGAAGTGGGAATTCCAGCAGCTCCAAACGGCAGGGATGGCTTTTACTGGAAGAAGAGCGAAGGGAACTGGCTTGGCTGCCTGCCTGCTAGGCATATTTATAAATCAGGGGAAGGGAAAAAATGAGGAAATAAATAGAAATCTTTTGTAAACACAAGGAAAAGCACCTCTGTGGGTTTTTTTTAGGTTGGTTTTCCCCATCTGGACCAAAATTAACCCAAGGACTTTTTCCCAGCTCTGTTGCCAGTGCTTTGTTCCACACCCATGGAGCAGCACTGCTCCTCCTGGGACCTCTGCCCACCCATGCACTCCTTCCCAGGGAGGCTGCACAGCCTCAGGCCCTGCCCTGAAGTGTGAAAAAGCTGCAAGGGCAGCAGGCAGGAATTGTTTTCTGTCAGAACCCCGGCCTGGTTCAGGGGTTCTGTGTGGTGGAAAAGTCTCTCCTCCCACCCGAGCTTCCAAAGAAAACTCAGCAGTCTCTTGTTTGGTCTCAAGGCAGTTTATTGCAAATTATCTAAAAGATTTTCTCCTTGAGCTGCTGTGGTTTGCTC